TCTCTCCTACCCTTCCCTCCCCGTCTTCCCGGGCAGAAGAGAAGCAGAAAGCATATCCTATTTCATGCCTCTGGCATGTGGAAGGAAGAACATTATTTTGTAATAATCTTATCATTAAAGATCAGATGATGACGGCTGATGATTTGGCTTCATTTGGAGGAGCCCCATCAGTGGGCTCATTGTCAGTGCTGGCAGCTCTGCCCCTGCAAGCTGAAGGCAGCCCTTCTCAGGAAGCCCCAGGCCGCCTGGCCAGCCTCCAGATCCCTTGCTGAGGTCTCCAGGGGGACAGCGTGGGCCCACAGCAGGGCCACAGGCTCAATATTTGCCTAACAGTAACCCCAGCCTGGACTGGAACACACAAAGGGCACAGTTGTGGAGTTTTTTGAAATGCTAGAGCTGTTTCACTCTGTGCAACAGAAAACAGATCCCCTCCCCGCTTCTTCCATTCAGAGTAAAACCTTTGTGGTTTTGATTTTTTTTCCTCCATTTCCCTAGTTTTAAAAATCAAATCCCCTGCTCACAGGTAGCTTTATCTTAGACAGTTATTTTTCACATCAATGAAGATATCAAACAAAACAGCCCCCTCCCCAATGGACACATTGTTGGTATCAGGCTTAAGGTTTGGGGCTTTTTAAAGCCATTTTGAGGGCTTTATAAAGGCCATCTGGGAGGGAGTTCGCCCCACAAAGACAGCGGGTTGCTAACAGAGAGACCTGCCCTCCCAACAGATGCCTTTTCTAGAGCTGCACTTGGAGATTTCATTACCTACGAAGCAAGCGTAGGAGACAGACCCAGTCCTGTGGTCTCACCAACAGCACAGACCACTTAGTGTCCTCCTTGGTGTTCAGCACTATGATGTCCAAGGCTGCACAGAGCCCTTGTGAATAATAACTGGGAACTGTCAACTAACCATCAACTCCAGTGTGTCAACACACAGAGCTCAGGGGGATGCTCCCAAACATGCAATCCCTCCAGACGGGCCGTCATCGCTTTCAGCAGCATGGGGAAGTTTCATGCAGCTGTAGGTGGCTCTGGGGTCAGTATCTCAGCTATAATCACTCCATGCTGAGCTCCACGGTGCAGAATGTTTTGCGTGGCTAGACGGGATATTAATTTTTGAGCTCTCTTTCACCAAAGGTCTCTCCTATTGCAGCAGCTAAATGGAGTAGCACCTCAGGTACACTGAAACCAGAGTAGGGGTGTAGCTAACCCAACCTTAAGGGTTGGATGGAAAAAGGGATTTGTCCTCTTGTCCCTGATACACCCAGAGATGATGTACCTGCTCTGCTGCGATCTTGTGGGTTGTGTGTTTTGCCCAGAGTTAAATTCTATTCTAAGGATCAGTTGCCATCATGCTGGTCGCTGCTGGGATGGAACAGGATTGCAGCAGCAATCAGCTTTCATTTGGAATGAAAAATACAAACATGTTGTCAATGTAAACAGAAAAAAAAATGAAAAAAAATATACAGAGTGAGTGTGTACATGTGTGATAAAGGTAATAACTTTCCAAGAGCCACACCTGGGGGCGATGTGTCAGGCTGATATCCTGGTCATCAGAGAACCTTAACTGTGAAGCTCTCTGTGGCACAAAATATACCAAACGGTAGGTATTACCTCTCTCATCATCATCAGGAAAAGCTGACCAGCAGCCCTACACACTGTGGAAGAGTCTCCAAGGGGAGGGGTTGGAAGTACCTAATTTTAAACTAAACCAAGTCCTGCCTTGAGAACCGCACAGAAGCGAGAGGCCAAGAAAAGAAAGCCCCCGTCTCTGCTGGTGCTGCAGCCATGCCTTGTGTGCCAGGGCACCCCTGTGGAGACAGGCATTCATGTGATGCTTAGAAACCAAGTGAGGGGAAGGCTTTGGAGAGTCTCCTCGCTCTTCGGGTGGTCACAGCACTGAAATATGAATGTGTTAGACAGAAGAAATGAATCAAATCCAAATCTGTGTCAGGAGATGATTTTATAGGGCTCCCATTGTGTCTGAACTTATCAAGCAAAGCCTTCACTTCCAATCTGATCCAAAAATCACTGAAGCCAAGCACAGCCTGTTCACTGCTTCAGAAGACTTTGGAGCAGGCCTGTTCTGAACCACTGAGGGAACACATTTTGGAAAGGCAAAGAAATGCATTATGTTAATTGTGCAAAACATTTTCAGCATCCCTCAGAAATCTGCACATTTACCTGCAAGCTGACAAAGAGTATTTAGGTAATAGTTAAAATTCAAAAGACATTTCACAGAATCACAGAATGTTAGGGGTTGGAAGGGACCTCGAAAGATCATCTAGTCCAATCCCCCTGCCAGAGCAGGACCACCCAGAGTAGGTCACACAGGAACGCATCCAGGCGGGTTTTGAATGTCTCCAGAGAAGGAGACTCCACAACCTCTCTGGGCAGCCTGTTCCAGTGCTCTGTCACCCTCATAGGGAAAAAGTTTTTCCTTATGTTAATGTGGAACCTCCTATACTCCAGCTTGCACTTGTTGCCCCTTGCCCTGTCATCGGACATCACTGAGAAGAGCCTGGCTCCATCCTCCTGACACTCACCCTTTACGTATTTATAAACATTGATGAGGTCACCCCTCAGTCTCCTCTTCTCCAAGATAAAGAGACCCAGCTCCCTCAGCCTTTCATCATAAGGGAGATGTTCCACCCCCTTAATCATCTCTGTGGCTCTGCGCTGGACTCTTTCAAGCAGCTCCCTGTCCTTCTTGGACTGAGGGGCCCAGAACTGGACACACTATTCCAGCTGCCGTCATTCCAAATTAAATCATTCATGCCATAGCAGAGCGGTTTTGCCTTTTCCTTTCCCCTCAAACATTTTGTGCTGCACAGAACACTTTCCTGCTCCTTATTTTTGCAAAATTAACTGCCAGGTCAACTTTCAGCAGGGTGAGAAATTCAGGAGGGAAAGGTGAACCTGGAAGAGAGTGGAAGGCCTTTCCTCAGTGGAGAGTTGAGTTTTAGTTTTGATGCAACAAAGCGCTCAGATAAAAACACAGATTAGAGACAACTATGATGAAATCACTTAGTTGCTGAAATGAGACAGAGATGAGGATTATCCTATAAGGGTAATTTCAAGAAGCTCTGAGCATTCAGAGTGTTTTTACAGCATCTCTCCTGCAGTGACTCATGCCTACTGAGGCCAAAAGCGATGGCTGCTGGGGTCACACAGCCAGCCTGGCTTCCAGCCGAGCACGACACACCTTGGGACAGTCCTCTGGTGCCAGCCAAAGGATGGGGCCACACATACCCACAGCAGCGGGAGGGGGCTGCCGCAGACTGGACAGCACAGCCTGCACTCTGCCAGCCCTGGCAGCGTGTTGACATGAAAACAGGGAGACAAGACAGGTAAATGGGCCTGTTTCAGCTGGCCTGCCTTCATCTGCAGCTCAGCATGACCTTTCTCTAGGGGAAACCTCTGGTTGTCCACGTCCTGCTGCATCAAGGAAATACCGGCAGCTGGAGGGGAGTAGAATGCATTTGGTGGTGGTGGTTGGACATCAAGGAAGACAAGAGGGTTCACCCCGCAGAAACGCTGGGCAGGGGCCCAGTCTATGTGGGTTTTGCTCTCAAGTTTTTTCTTAAACAAAGGGAGACCAAACAAACCCGACAGTTCTGCACAGCAGCACACTGTTGTATGCAGTTCACCGAAGTTCCCACGGGAAATTTATTATGCACCTCTCTGCAGCTTTCAGCAGTGTGGAGGGAAAAAAAAAGAAAATTTTTAGATATTGTCCATCCTACTAGGATTGCTGCCCCAGACACCTTCCCCCTTGCCTCCCATGGGATGGCTGCACATCCCAAACAGGCCACAGACAGCTTCATTCTCATGTGAGCACCCGAAGCTGTGTGTGACCACTGCTGAAGAGCGCCAGCAACCTGCTCCCTGCTGAGCCTACCTCTCCTTCCTGCCCAATTTAATGCCTGAAGTTTTCTCTAACAAGGACATCGTGGTGGGTCAGAGATAGGAGCAAGCAGAGCCAACAGCCTGGGGAACAGCAGCAACGTGCGGTGCTCATCAGACCAGGACAACACAAGCACTTCAACAGAGTGGCCTTTCTAGCCAGGACTGTAGGAAAAAATCTTGCCCTCCAGCTGATATCCTTTTGCCAGCAACCCTCCTGGTCTGCAGGTAGAGCTGTGCTGGTGGGAAGGCATAGCTCCTAGCTTTACTCATAGAGAAGGTGGCATAAGTACAAGAAAAGAAAAAAAAGCTTTCAGCATCATGTTGCACATGGGTGATGGAGACAGTGACAAAGCTGCACTCATGGAGCTTCTTCCTAAGCAAGGACCTCAAGCTTGAACTGATCCCAACCCATAATCCAACACAGGCCCTTAAAGAAAGGCTGTTGTTACCATGTAGTAGCTGTTGGTAGCCTACACAAAGCAACTTGTTTCCTTCCACTTCTTGGTGAAAACGTGCCCATACCCTATGTTAACTGAGCAGCTGCTGCACCAGCGTGATCAAAGACTTCTTTTTTTTTTAGGCTTTCATGCATCCTTTCCAAAAGAAGCATCACTGCTGGGCAGTTTTGGGGGAGGTCAAGCCAGCAAACGTGCAAAATCAAAGCCAGATGGGGAGACAAATTCTCTACCCTGATCCTCTGCTCCTTTCCAGCTCTATTAGACCACCTTCGCAGGACCGAAAGGAGACTCAGAAGACAGAAGCTGCCTGGGACCCCATCAGGAAGGGCTGGCTCCAGAGGCCTTTCCTCCCTCCAGCTGCAGCAGATCCTGGGGAAAAACCTTCAGGGGCCCTCCACCTGCCTCGGTGCTGGTATTCACCTCCTGCTGGAGCTGCTTTGGTTGGAGCCCTTCTCTTTCCTCACCCTGCTGTGGCAGGAAAGTTCAAGGTGTCCTGGCAGCAGGAAGCTCCTTTGCTCCACCCTCTGCCCTGCATACTGGCTCTCTGAGTTTATTGAGGATTTGTTGAACCAGAGCTGCCAGCGACAGCGACCTGATCTGTGTGGCCACTCGGGTGGGAGCTGGACCCCCGGCATGAAGCACTTCTCCAGAGAGTCCTGGGCAGCCTTCACTGTGCTCTTCTTCACCATCATGCTCTGGTATTCCTGCTCAGCAGGTATTTATCTTCTCTTATGCTCCAGTTTCTATATCCTGCCTTTTCCCCGACTCCTCTCAATACCTAATATATTACCCACTGACAGTAATTTGTTCTTTAAAAACAAGGTGGGCTCCCTTGTCTCATCTAAAAAGTGTACAGAGCTGGAATTGATTAATGCTAATGAGAATTACTTGACGTGATTGATCACAGCATCTTTCTGAAGAGATGTGCTTTTGCCAGATACTTACAGATCCACTGTAAATGTGTCTGAGTTGCAGATTGCTCCACTGAATGGTGAGGAGATAGAGGACGACAGTTACTTGGCCTTCCTGTGCTTGCTGAGGCAAGGGACCATTTGAAATACCCCCCAAGAGGCTCACTGTAGTCTGGTTTAGCTCTTACTAGGTGCTTTTTGCAGGAAAACTGGCTTTGGTGCCCCCTTAATCAGAGAAGCTGCCTAAAATAGAAATGAGACCTGTGAGCTGCTCCTTTCCCATCAGGCTACTGCCTGTATTTGTGTATCAACACCGGTTGAGACCTGCCAGATGTTTAAAGATGGGTTAGCTTTGACAGCCTGTCCTTGGGGCTGGAAAGTCTATAAACATGAACCAATGCTCTGTATTCTGCAGCACTTTCTTCCACAGGTCATACACTTTTTTTAATGATTCTTCCCAGTGCTCCCGTGAGGTATTTATTAACTCGGAAAACAAATTATGGGCTTGCCCAAGGTCATTCAGCAAGTCCTATCAGAGTCAGAAAGAGCAGTGGGGACTACTCAGACCCTTCCCTGGAGCAGGCTACCTGGGGACCCACTCCCGGCATGGCAGCAGCCATCAGGAAAGCTCTGGTCTTGCTGACAGTTAAATCAGCTCAAAATACAAAGCTGGGCATCAGCAGGTGACCCAAAGGGGGATATCTCCTGTAGGACAACCTCAGTTTATTTGCTGCTGCTTGGAAAACACCAAACTCAATGAAAAGGTTTGGTCAAAGGTCTTGTTCTGTTTTGTTTTCCTGAGCTGAAACTAAATCTGAGTCATTATTTTGAAGTCTTTGGTGAAATCAAGCTGGAACTGATTGTCTCGTTCACAGTCCAAATTATCAGCTCAGAGTGATGGTTTGATTTGAAATAGTTTTCATATCTTCTGCCTGGTCTGTGGACCCGCAGCGCATTGGAGCCCCTCCATCTGCCTGCAGCAGGAGCCCTTATCCCTGTAGGCTCTCCAGGCTGTTTTTCATCTATCTCTGCAGGTGACCATTTCATTGTGGGATACTTCACCTGCCTGATCTTGAACTGTACTGCTCATAGTGGCACAGGAGCAGATATTTCTTTTACTCCCTTCCTTCTGCAGCAGGGGATGGGCTGGTGTTAATGCACAGGGACCACAGCAGCCTGTGCTTTTCCCACGCAGGCATCCTGCAGCTGTCCTTGCATCTGATCCTGCAGTGCTGCGAGATGCAATGCTGAAGCTGAGGGGCAAGTCAGGTATTAGGAGGTCTAAGGAGGCTTTGGCCTGTGACACCATGTACAGATTTGGAGGGCTGGAGAGCAGCCACAGAGCTGTGCCAGAGTGCATGTGTGCTCTGTTTCTGGGTGGGAAGCAGGATAAAGAGGCAAAAACTTCATTGAAGCTCCAGTCCCTCTCCCTCCCTTACTTATTTCTGTATGTTGTATTTTCCAACCTGAGCTGGTTATTGTGCTGGCCTGAACTGGAGTCCAGCCAGAACAGTTTCAGACACAGCTGCGCCTGAACTGCAGCAAAGCCAAAGCTCCCTGCTGAGGCTGGGGTGGATCTGCTGAGGCTCTGCATGGATGGGCTCAGCCCTTGGTTCTGCCAGACTCTTTCACCCCCTGGCATTACTGGGATTTTTCTGAGGGCAAAAGGAGGTAGATGTACAGCTCACTGGCCTTGGATCTCCCGGTGCCCCTGAATGCTCTCTTTCATTTCAGTCCCTGCTCGTTCTGCCCCTGTAGCTTGGGAAAAGACGGTGGTTAATTTGAGCTCTGAGTGAGTGGCTCACACCAGGATCATACTCAGGTAGAGGCACAGTGATTCAACTACTTACAGCTGGTGCTAGAGCAGGTCTCTCTAGAGCCTGTGTTGACAGTGGTGGGATGAGAAAGCATACCCTGATGCAGCAATGTTTAGGGGCAGGAACTTATTTTCTCCAAGTTGTTTCTGTCCTACAGACCACTGCAAGGCCAATGGCTTTCAGATTTTCATGCTTGATGCCCAGTATTGGTTTTCTGATCCAACTTGCCTTTTCTTCTGTGCTTTCCTTCTGGCAGCAGCTAAAGAAGCCTCCAATGTTTCAACAAGCAACATGCTCACAACTGGGTATGAAGCACCATGTCTTAGTAAGTCTTCCTAAATAATTACTACCACAATAAAACCAGGTGATGAAGCTACACAGGCAACTGAGAAGCTGTCTTGGAAAAAGATTTATCTGTTGTCAAGGCTTCTGTTGCAGGTGAAACTCTAGGACACATTTCTAAGATTCCTCCACTGGCATGCCCAATATATCATCTTAGGTACATTCAGATGGACTCATAGCTTTGAACAGACTAATTCATAGCTAATTTGTGTGTCCTAAAGCTCCCTGCCAGGCTGCCTGCCTGTAGGCACAATGTGGATTCCCAAGAGCGCCTCTTTCCCCCACCTTACCAAGTCTTCCCCAAAGAGCCAGTCCCAGGCAACCTGAGATCCTGCCAGTCCTCCCAGAGTCATCCTCTGTCCCAAACGTCAAACATCCCCACAGTCCTGCACCTCCTGAATTATGGCACATGTAGCAAAAGGTATGCTGCTTCAAAGCACGACATGGTTATAAGGGGCAGGCATCCCTCCCCCTTCTCTAGGCACATAGAAGACATGTCTCTTGCTGTGGGAAGAGCTGCTCTCTACAGCGCAGGACAATTGTACCGTGTGCACTGAAGGCCAACGCATAGGAACACGGTCCTGCCTGACATACGTGAATAAGAGCAACTGAGCAGCACCTGCACTTGCCTTTTCCCTGGAAATGGGCAAGAGGCTAGCTGCCCTGCACCGACCTCAGGAGGCATTCACTTTTCACAGCTGACAAGCTTCATGCACGTCAACATACAATGCGTGTAGCTGCAAGGTGGTTTTGGCTGCCTCAGCGCTCCTGGGTGCCGGGGTTTCACGTTCAGCTTCTATTCCAGGCCAAGGGGTCAAGATACCATGGTCCTCCAGGCTCCCTTTGATATTTCCACATCACCACCCAGGATGCAGACACAGACCTGGGTATCTTCACTGTGCCCTTGTGATGGAGAAAGTATGGCAGATGCATTTAAATAACAGCATAAACTAATGACATATTCCTTAACTGACTTCAGGAAATCAGACTGATTTAAACAAAAAAAAGATCCAAAATGTACAAGAAAAAAAAACCACGGAATTGTTAAAAATTTTTTCATTTTTATACACATAAAAGAATGATCCCCCAATGGTGGTGTGTTTTGCAGCTGTTACATGCAAGTCACAGTTAACAGCCCAGCAGAGAGCAGCCACTGCTTCTATTGCTGGCAGAGGTATTGGGTACCTAAACTACTGGACATTCTGCTGAAGGTGTGTCTGCTAAAGAACCTCTTACTCTCTCACATGAAGGTTCCTCTGCCTTGGGCTTATTTTTAATTTTAACTCGCTACCTCTATCATACTCCATTCCTAACACTGACTGAGGAGATGCTAAGCAGGTGTTTTAAAAGATTTCCATAATGGTGGGCACAGTGATAAGAGGAGCAGCTCAGGTGTTTGGCCAGACAGGAATGACCAAGTCTTGAAGACATACAGGTGAAACTGAATATTGCCATCCCCCAGGTTAACGGCCAGGCTTAGGAGAAAGATGCCAAGGCAGACAGAGGAGCCACAGGCCAGATAGTGAAGTCACTCTCTCATCTGCAAACAAAATCTGTTACATACTTGGTTTCCTATCAGCTCATTTCATTTCTTTGCCACCAGACGTGAACTTCTGCATGCAAGCGGCCATGTGCTGCCCAACGGGCATGGACGATTATGGATGGATTGCAGCAGCCGTTGGCTGGAAACTCTCATCCTGCTCTGCGTGGACAAGGTCACAAAACTCCGGCCTGACGAACCCAAATACTTGGTGGCCTGAAGCAGGGCAAGCCAGCAAGCAGCAGCACCTGGGAGCAGTGAGGTACAGGCAGCCCAACAAAACATTTCAATCAATTCCGAAGAAATAAAAATGAAAGGGAATGGACTTTCAGCCAAGAAAGGCCAGACCTAAGCAAGGCACCTGCTGGTGCTTCATCCTCCCTGGCAGGTCAGAGCTGCCAGTCAGGGTGTGGAGCAAGCAAGTCCCTGCAAGCCACTACGTGTGTCCCACAGTGCCCAGAAAACCTTTTCCCTGAGCCCTTTCAAGCTTGCTGTGAGCACACCAGCAGCAATGAGATGCTGAAGGACCAGTTACCAGTCTACAGCATACTACCTTAAGACAGCTCAGTACATAATCTTTGACTTTGAAACAGAAAGTGGGCAAATAAAGCTATTTTCTGGAGGATCAATGCTACCAGATCCATTACTAAGCTATAGGCCAGGTTATGCAACTCATTGCTTATACTGAGTCCTTCTCAGTCACTAACCTGTGATATTTTAGTCTATTAACTGATACCAGTGAAAACACTGTTACAGAAACTTAAGGATTGTTTGGGATGGTATGAAAATAAAACTAGGTTTTCCAGTGCAGTTTATAAATGAACTGTTTTGTAGGAATTTAATGTTGGTTGTATTTATTCCGATTGCACCTGCCCGAGTAACTAAGCCAAGCTGAACCATGGCAAGCAGGTTTAAACCAGCATATCCAATTCACGCACAAAACTGTTCCTATTTATGCAAGATAACAATAAACACCCTTACTGATGGAAAGATTCTCACTGACTGGTTTATTTTGATAAAGCTTATATTGGCAAGGAATTACCCAAACCAAATTGTTAGAATCATGTTTCTAACAAGAAATATTCATGCAGGAGGATTTGCCTCACTGCAGTCAAACTATCTGGTTTGCACCAGTTTAATTTCTATCCGTTACTAAAACAACAAATCAGTGTTAAACCCATCTAGACATACACAGGATTAGCAAACCTGCTAGAGACTGAAATGAAACATAAAAAGTTACTCTCAAACCACAGAAAGCTCTACTGGAGATTTGTATCTATTAAATATCATTAAAGCCTCCCTTCAGCTTATCAATGCGTAACTTTTCCAGTTAGAAATGAAACAGATCAGTTTAAGACTCTTCAGATGACTTCTAGCACAACAAGGCACTTCTATCATGACAACGCTGTGCCATTTCACAGTGATGGGCTGTCACCCCTTATCAACCATTCACCATCAATAGGAATGAGTGCAAGTTAGACACTGAGGAAAAGACATCTTTCCCTGCCATTAGTATCACTTAATACAAAAAAAATCTAGAGCAAAATGCTGAGCAGACGTGCTAGTATCAGGAAAGCAAGTTTTGAAAGGGAAGGGCTTAATTCTTTTGTGGCTTTTTTACTGTGTGTGTTTTGTTTGGTTGTTTCGGGGTTTTTCTTTTCACATGCACCACATTACAAGTAGTAAACAATCACAAAACATTACTCAGTTAAGGAAAAAACCCTCAACATTTCAACATACAATAATTAAAACAAAAGTAATTTTCACAAGACAAATCTCTGTGTTGGCCAACTGCCTACTACTTTCCACAAAATATATGTATAATCTCGTATATGTAAAAACTTATAATAAAGGACTCTACGTCTTTTGGTGTTGACTGAAAGAACAGTGAGTTGATAGTTAATAACCACTGCTGTCACTGACAGACAACAAATCTTACAGCTACATAGATAATATTTGTTCCTGATTTTTTAGCTTTAATAGTGGAAAGCACGCATCGGCCTGAAAGCAACATGGTAAGATACTGTGAAAAAATTGCCATGGATTGCTTTAATGTCTACCTTCTGCAGATCTCTTCTTACAGTTCTCCAGCCTTATGGAGATTGTTCTCCTGGTTAGGAACACCTAAGTGCCTGCTGGATATGGTGCTGTTTTTCGTCTTTGAGGTGATATGTTTCATAGCTTTCACATTTCCTTGACTAATGCTATGAGTGCATGGATGCAGCCAGTCACAGAAGTAAATCAATTCCAGTCTGAGGAATTGTAAGCACATGATGCAAGCTCTAGGTGTCCTATAGCCCAGCACTACACCAGCAAACCAACTTCATAACAATTGGGCATTTCTGGGGGCCTTCCTAAAGCTTGCCTTTAAAAGTATAGCTTGTTCATTTTTCACTCTCTCCGAAATAGACTGCTTGTGTGCAGCTACCTTCAAAAAATGTAGCAGACTTAAACCTCAAGTTTTGCTTTTTGCAGCTTCTACCGAGGATTCCCAGCTCAGCTGAACATGGGGGGGGATGGGGACGAGGGACAGACGAAAAGACCCAGTTTTCTATATAAAGTAATGCCCCCAAGGATTTTGTATACTTGTGTTCAAGGGTGACATCCAAGTCTCAACAAAATCAGGTATACAAATGGAATATCTTACAGAAAATTTCTGCTGCGAAACATATACTTTTTTTAGACCAGTGACCTGTAAACCTCTTATCTCATATAACAGTTTTGTTTTCTTACCGCATCATCTACTTTGACATCTGACATTGCCAGGTTTGATCTTTTCAAGTCATTTCACCTCCTGTGAAGTGGACTGACTCACTTAGAAAATGCAATCATGTAATGAATTTCATGAAATACTAATACCACAAAGTGTCAGTATCCCAAAAGCTCAACTTAAACGTCTTATCTGTTCCTATGCAATATAGTACAAACCAGTAAAATACTACTTTAAAGAGATTCTCTGAGGTAGATGTTATGTGTTGTACCGATCCTAGGCATGGTGGGCAATCACAACGTAATGGGTTTGTGTGGCAAGGTTTTGGCAGCAGGGGGGTTACAGGGGTGGCTTCTGCGAGAAGCTGCTAGAAATTTCCCCTACATCCAATACAGCCAATGCTAGCCAGCGTTAAGACAGACCCCACGATGGCCAAGGCCAAGCCAATCAACGACGGGGGTAGCCC